TTTGCATCCGCACAGCTGATCTACAAACCAGTTGTAAATCAAACTGCGTGTGTAAAACACAGCGGGCACAAACCTTTTAGTGTTTGCTTCATAAATATTCAAAGCCAAACGCGCAAATGTATGCAAGTATAATCCTTTACAACCAGAAATGCGATTTATCAAACCTGAAACAGATTGTGGATCTGTTTCTGCATCTGTATTTAGCACATTTGAAAGGCAGCTACCAACTGGGACACAAAAATGTTGTTCCATGTTTTTTAACCAACAACACTGAACATTAACAGCCACCGGAGACCAGAAAACCATCTGAGCTGAAGGGACATCAAAGGAAAATAAGTAATAATACATTTCTTTTCGCTGCACGGTGGTGCAGTTGGTAGCGCCGTTGCCTTGCAGCAAGAAGGTTCTGGGTTTGATTCCCGGGGGTCTTTCTGCATGGAGTTTGCATGTTCTCCTCGTGCATCCTTGGGTTCTCTCCGGGTACTCCGCCTTCCTCCCACAGTCCAAAGACATGCCTGTTAGGTTAATTGGTCTCTAAATTGCCCCTAGGTGTGAATGAGTGTGTGCATGGTTGTTTGTGTGTTGCCCTGCGATGGACTGGCGACCTCTCCAGGGTGTACCCCGCCTCTCGCCCATAGACTGCTGGAGATAGGCTCCCCGCGACCCACTATGGAAGAAACACATGCAGATATATGCGGTATAGAAAATGACTGGCTGACTGGCTGACTGGCTGGCTGACATTTGTATTCTCCCTCAGTGCTCCTTTATGGTTCTGTACGAAGCACATTCATGTCTGGCCTGTCATGGCCTGACTTGGTTTGCGATGTTTGGGTCAAGTGAGTCAAATCCCTCAATTCAAATCAGTTCACAGAAAGAAAGCAGGAAACTCTCCCAGGATGGGGGGGTGGTTTGCCGACGGAGTTGTTGGAGCATGCGGGGGAGTGTGTGTGTGTGTGTGTGTGTGTGTGTGACAGCTACTGTAAGCCTGACAGCTTTTTTAGGTTTTAAATTGATATTTTATGGTTTAACTGTAGCCTTTAGTATTTTCATGTATTTAAATAATTTTATGGTCATTTTGTAGCACTTTGAGACTTTTATAAATACAATTTATTATTATATTTCTTCTTATTATTGCCTCCAACTCCATAGCTTTGAACTTAATCTTTCTTTTACGGCCGCTCTGCTCTCCAACACTCTCTATAGTAACAGCCGGTAGCAATTTCCTCATTTAAATAGGGCAGTCTGCACCTCTTTTACACCTCTTATCCATTGTGCACGCAGTCTTTGTAGATCGTGCGAACTTAAAACCTTTAGAATTAAGTAGCCTCATTTCTCATTTTTCATTTTTATCAGTTATATCTTTTGAATTTTGTTTCTGTGTCTATTATTTCTTCAATAATTCGAAAAGATAACATTCACTTTTTATTTGGAACAAAATGTCATGTTTTGAAGCCCAAACCAGGTGTTTTATTTGAGCATGAAGTAACTGTTTACGTCTTTACCAAAAGCTGGTTGTTGAAAATGAGCCTACCATGCTGTTAATTAACCTGGGTCATCCTTACAAGTTCTCCTTAATCCCCAAGTTAAAGCCAAGACTTAAGCCTAGTCTTAATTTATTTCAGAATGATGTGTTAAAGTTATTAATAAGATGCAGTGGCACAGGCTTTTACAATTTCCAGTTTTCTTTGACGTCTGACTTGCAGATTCAGATTATTTTTCCACTTGTGGATTATAATACACCCATACTAATTTATATGAACTTTGGTTTCATCCCCACATCTTCTTCTTGGGTTGAACAAATAAACACTGACCATAAAGGTTCAGACAGGTTCTTTGATAGAGGTTGTCATTTTGAAAATAAAGGAATTACAAGATTATTCCCTTTTTTAACATGTTAAGCCATATGGGAGTTTGGACAAATTTCTGCCTGAATTTACATAACTTAAATAAATCAAGTATAGCTCCACAGTTATAAAGTCTAAATGGAAAACCTTGGTACCTGTATAAAGATAAGGCCTGAAAGAATAATTTTCCAGTGGAACCACTATTGTAACTCTAACAGTGTTTGATTTATTTGTGATTAAACAAAGAAATCCCAGGCGGAGCTGGGATTTCAGCAGAATTTAGCCAAATTTGCCAAAACTGTGCCAAATGTGTTTTTCACCTCTTAAAAGGGAATCTGATCAAATAAAAGTGCTGATTTCCATTGTAGGACTCCTTCTGCATATGATATAGCCTTTGGTCATGACATTTATCCTGTATATCATTAAAATGTACAATTGTGCACAGCATAAAATTAATAGAGTAAAAAGAAATCAAACTAAATTATGTCCTTTTGTCTCAAGCTGGAGGAATTTTATTGGGAAAAAAAAGAATAATCCATACATAATAAACATGTAAACCAATGTGCAAAAAAATATTCTATGAATATTTCTATGAGTACTGATCACTCCTCCATTCAGTCTATTTATGAGGAATCTGCCCTCAGACCTGCACAGAAAGTATGGTCTGATCCCACTCATTTCCTCAGTTCACTATATGAATTGCTACCGTCTGGCAAACCGTATAAACTTGTTACTTGCAAATTAATATATTTAAATATTCATTTGTCCCTACCTCCATCAGATTAAAAAATAAGGTAGGCATATAGTATGAGGTTACATTACTGCCATGTTGATGCTCAACTGTGTTATCTGTTGTAGATGGAGCATTTTCAGACGGCATGAAGTTACTGTCATTGTGACAGGGAAATCCATCCATCCTTCTTTATTCTATTCTATCTAAAAGTTACTTAGCAATTTATGTGTCAAATTCAAACAAAGCTATCTAGCTTCTGCAATGAGCTCCATTATAGCTGGCGTGAATATTCCTCCTATATTTCTAGTAGGAAGACTGTCACCACACACATTACATAAGGAACTTTATAACCACTCAGGACGTCACATCAAAAAGCAACACAACTATTAGAATTAGAATAATTATTATAATTATCATTATAGTATAAAGGAATCATGAGCTGAGGAGGTTATCGTTGCATTAGTGAGACACATCTGCACATCACCAATATGTTGAACACATTAAATGTTTTCTATTCACTAAAGCACACTGACCACCAGATGGGGCCCTTATAGCAGAATGGGTCCAGTCTGTAGCTCTGATGACATTCAGAAATCAGCTCCTCGCTGCAATGAGAGCCACAGTTTAGGGGAACTTTCTATATCTGAGCAACATCTGGATGAGGCCGACCCATATGGCTGGCACGGCCCGGTTCAGGGATGACCGTTAAATACCCGACCTGTCGGTCAGCTCCCTCTGAAAAGCTCTGGTTGAAAGGACTGCAGGGTAGTGAGAACTGGAACTGGTACCAGAGACCCACGGTTCCTCCTGGTTTCCCTCTGTAACACTGAGGCCAGCTCCATGCAGAGCTCCAAGATGATTGTCCTGGACAATCTGAACCAGCTGATGAGTCATGCATCATCATGTCCCAGCAGGTCAGGAGGATCTCCAACTTCTTCCATTGGTGATGTCCTCCAGCTGAACCAAAGCTGCCATCGTTCCACAGTTAGGAGCAACTTCAGCAGCTATTTATGGACATGTGTGATTGTCTCCAGCTGGTCCACCTTAGGAACCATCAAACCTGACTTGTTAGGAGTTAATCTGCTGATCCGACACTGTTTTATTCTCAGTGAGAATGAAAGTGTCCCTTAGATGATTCTCATGCATTTTATGCTCCTCAGCGCTCAGACTGATGAGCATTTCCATCTACAGGTGACAGAAACAGAGGAAGTTTCACAGTTTCCATCAGACTGAGGTTGTTTCCATCTTTTTCTGAGGTGTGTTACGTTACTGAGGCTAAATGTGATTCAGTTTCATCGCTCTGGTTTAAACCATTAAAGCTCAAAGTCATGAAGAAGCGTCAGGTTTGATGCTCCATGTATGAAATAAAACTGAATCATGTCATGTCATGTTTTCACCCCTGCTGACTTTAAAAGTCAGAAATGTTTTAATTTGTTGCTGCATTTTCCTAGAGGGTTTTCTTTTTTATCATTCAACGTTTCAGCTCCGCCTTTAAGTTTTCTAGTTTTGCTGCTCCATGTTCACGGCTAATGGACTTATCTAATGTTGCTTGTAGCGTCAGTGACTGACAGGTAATGTTCGGCGGAGGAACGCCATGACGCGCTAGAGCCACAGGACTGCGCATTTCTCTGTTGGATGGAGAAACAAACAGGAAGATTGTAATTAATGGCGCTCTAGTTGGACCAGGCTTTTCCGATTCTTTTGGATTTGTTCCACTTTTAGCGTTTGTTGAAGAAATATCATTTAGAACCTATTCTAAGGAGGAAACCTCTGGAGGAAGAAGAGGAGAGGAGACAGAATGCAGTTATGTTTTTAAATGGTAAATGTTCAATGATTTTCTACTAGTTACAGAATACTGTCGGTGAGGGCCCATCTAAGAGCATCTTCTCCCGTTCCGAAGCAATACTATAGACTGGCCTGACCTGATGAAGCCAGGTTCAACCTGCACTTATATATAGGGTTGAAACTATTGAATAATTTTGTTGTTTAATAATCTAGTAAATCATTTACTGATCCTTAATCGTGTCAGCACACATGCTTTCTTTAACAGATGAGCCTTACAGTCAGTCCGTTCAGTAATCCAGAAAACATTTTGAACCTTTTTTAGTATTGTGTAAAAGGCTCTGTTAGGAACATGTTTCAGATTTTATTCTATGTAAGGTTCATGATAAGATCTTGCTCCTAATGATGCTACTAGTTTGAAACAAGTTGTATTTTGTATTCTATGATTGTTTAAACATGTTGCTCTTGAAAACGAGACCTTGTATCTCGCTGGGTCTCTGAAACCCGGGCATAAACCCCTAGAGGAATCCACACTAGAAGCGCTAACAATCTGTCTTCTCCCTCTTGATTCCTTCTCCTAATAAACTCCTCCTGATTAGCCTTCATGAGCCTCACCTGTGGAGCTGCACCTGCCAGTCGCAGCAGGTGACTGTGCTCAGTGGTAAGAGGAGTCGTCTTGCAATCAGAAGGTTGTGGGTTCGATTCCAGCTTCCTCCTGCCATATGTCGATGTGCCCCTGGGCAAGGCACTTAACTTCAAGTTGCCTACCGATCTGCGTATCGATGTATGAATGTGTGAGTGTTGGTGAGTGCGATTGGGTGAATGTGGCTCTAGTGTAAAGCGCTTTGAGCAGTCTGTATGACTGGAAAAACTATATAAGTTCAGTCCATTTACCATATAGCCCGGTGGAGATGAGGTGAGAGAGAAACACACACCAACCTGCCCACAGCTCTGTAGGCACGACAGGTTTTTATAAAATATATATTTAACACTAAAGCAATCAAAGGGGAGCTCATCCTAGATTTTCTAATGTGGAAATGTAGAAGTCCACCAATTCGTGGTTCCTTTATAAGAACATCTAAGCATGGTTACCATCCAATTCACTAGATCAGGATGATCCATCTCCATCTGTCTGTGGCTCCAACAATGGATTGATTTATGTTAGCAGATAAAACCATTTGGTGTATGTCCACACAGGTCGGTGGGTTTCAGGCTGTGCTCAGGTCAAAGTTGAAATTTGTTGAACTTTGACTTCTGTGTACTGCAGCAGATCGCCCATCCTATAGAGGCAGGATATACAGGTGCTGGTCTTAAATAATTATTTCATGATATTCTAATTTTATTTCAGTAATTCCATTCAAAAAGTGAAACTTGAATATTATATTCATTCATTACACACAGACGGATATATTTCAAATGTTTATTTTCATTTTGATGATTATAACTGACAACTACTGAAAACCCCAAATTCAGTATCTCAGAAAATTTAAATATTACTTAAGACCAATAAAAAAAAGGATTTTTATAACTGTTGGCCAACTGAAAAATGTATGAACATGAAAAGTATGAGCATGTACAGCATCCAATACTTAGGTGGGGCTGCTTTTGCCTGGATTACTGCAGCAATGCGGCGTGGCGTGGAGTCCATCAGTCTGTGGCACTGCTCAGGTGTTTTGAGAGCCCAGGTTGCTCTGATAGTGGCCTTCAGCTCTTCTGAATTGCTGGGTCTGGCGTATTGCATCTTCCTCTTCATGATAATCCATAGATTTTCTACGGGGTTAAGGTCAGGCGAGTTTGCTGGCCAATTAAGAACAGGGATACCATGGTCCTTAAACCAGGTACTGGTAGCTTTGGCACTGTGTGCAGGTGCCAAGTCCAGTTGGAAAATGAAATCTGCATCTCCATAAAGCTGGTCAGCAGCAGGAAGCATGAAGTGCTCTAAAACTTCCTGGTAGACGGCTGCGTTGACCTTAGACCTCAGAAAACACAGTGGACCAACACCAGCAGATGACATGGCACCCCAACCCCCTCCTAATTTTATGACCAGCACCTGTATATCAAGTAGCTCTAGACTGGGCTGAAAGCAGCCAGTCAAAGCGTTAAATGAGCTCCTTGAGAAGCTCCTCACTGCATCATAAGGTTTCATGTGAATTGTCTCTATGGTTTCCTCTTCCTCACCAGCTTTAGTTCTATTTTTGGTTTTAGCACAAGAAAAAAATTTGCAGATAAAACGTCACCATTATCTACTTGTTGCTTTGAAAACTTTGTCTCTTTTTGCTCAGCACTCTGCTGTGGATGAGCAGAGCTTAGCACCATCTCTGTTTTCAGGTCTGCTCCACAGGGTTCTGATGGAAGTTCAGAATATTCAGTTTTCTGTGAAGTTTTTGCTGATGTGCCGTTATGCTGGGCTAATTCGGTTTACTGTAGAGGATGTTTGCTTCGTTTTTTTGACAGAGACCTAAACATTTTGGATTTTTTCCCTCAGGTCATCATCTACCTGCTCGCTTTATGAAATGTCAGTGTGTGAACAAAGAATTTTACCTTTAGGGCTTTTTTGTAATCGAATCATTTCGAGGAATTTTTTCCTACTTAAACATACACATGACCCAATGAAACAGGACACTTCCACAAATTTTATTTTGTACTTTCAAAAGCTGACAGCAATTTACTCACAAAGGTTTTATCCAAAGTCTAAAATGCATAAAAAGAAATAAAGTTTGTTACAAATCAGATTTATTCTGGATGTTCCTAAAGAACCTCTTTAGATTGTCTGAGATTAAAGCATAGAAAGCATCATCATCTTTAGCAAAATCATATACATTGTTACACATTGGACCATCTGGGTCATCAGTAGAAACTAAAATACAGACATTTTAAAATCATGCATTAATTCTCAAAAAATGTATAAATCATTAATATAAAACAAGGTTAGGTTCTGAGTTAGAGGTTTGGATGAGGCTGGAAATGTCCCAGTGTTGCTGCAGCAGCAGAACTACGCTTCTTTACCTTCAAACTCAGTTCGGCAAAGAGGAGAGATGCCAGTTAGTTTGCATAAATGGTTCTAAAACTGCATTTACTTTTTACACCACATAGGACACATTTAAATTCCAGAGTTTTTATGTTAAAAGAAATCAGTAGAACAAGGCGTATAACAATAGCTAATAAAAAACACACCGTACAAAATGGATAATCTCGTTTAGTCCTTAAGTGCTTCAACAATCAACTTTCTTGTATTATTTGAAAATGGTTTTGATCAGTAGTACTTGGGCTTTCTGAATGATTTTAAACATCCGTCTGTCTGTCTGTAGTCAATTCAAAATAGAACTCAAACAGAGAGGTTCTAAACAGAAACATCAATAAAATGTACTTTTAAATATATATTTATGTTTGTATTATTACTAGTTGAATCACTGGTTTAACCCTGGATTTGTATTTCCTGAGGATGTTTGTTGGAAACAAGGTCAATACTGAGGTGATAATTCCACACAATCTACCTGCTCACTGTAATGTTGTAGGCCACAGGACCTCTGAATGTAAACCCCAGGTAGAAGGTAACATTTTCATTACTGTGGGGTACTGAAGGCAAGTAAAGAGGCTGGATGCTGAACTTCCTTTTTCTGGGGCCTTCGAGGTACACCCCTCCATCTTCAGTCCACCCAGAAACACTTTTCAGCATCTGAGCAACTTCAGGCATTTTCCATGCCTCACCTGTATACCACTTCATGCGTCTCTCATGCACTGTTAGGCCCTTTGTGTATCTTTCAGCCTTGCTTTTGTGCACAAATTTATCCAAGCCAGTCCCATTTCCCAGAAAGAAATGAGTGTAAAGTCTTCTCTTCCGTGGAGGAATGTCCTTTATCTTTGTCCAGTGGTCCCTTTTCAGGTATTCAATTGCTGATAGCACAATTTCATATTTTCTGTTTTTCTCATCTTCTGTCTCATGATCTTCTGGCCAAAACAACATAGTACGTAAGAACAGGGCAGAAGGAGAGCAGTTTCTTTTGTCAGTAGGGAACTGGTGGCTGAGAGCTTGTAGATCTTGTAAAGGAGCAATCCCTGGAGAAAGTGGTGAGAGACACTTCAAAGCAATGTTGGCTGCGATGTAATTGATTATGTCATTTTGGGGAAATCTGGCAGTCTGTGGATTGCTTGGGTAAAGGGAAAGAATTGTCTGTAGGTCCTTCGTGTCCTTTTCCTGCTGGTTATTGAGTTTGAAGAAGATGGATGTTAGGTTACCTCCACCAAGTTGATAGATAATCATGCGTTTTGTGTAGGGATTCGCATTTGCTAGAACTGACTTGGAGGACTTTAAAAGTTTGTCTGAAACTCCACTTAGGTATTTTCCATACGCTGAGGATGCGTTGGTCAAAAACTTGAGTGGGTTTTTAACTGTTTCTTCTGGACTTTCAGAGATCTCCTCCTCATGTGCAACAAGGTCTTTCTGGAAGTAACTGAGGTCTTCTGAAATCCAATCCAAGGATTCTTTAATTGTGTTTTTAAGGTTTTTCAGGCGGCCATGAAATGGCTCCCAAGCGTCTCTTATTTCCTCTGGAATGTAATCTTGGGTGGTTAGGTACTTCATGCACACCAAAGAGCTGTCATCTCTATTTGCAAACTCTTGAATCGAGGAGATCAATTTTAGCAGACTGTGTCCCACCTCAATTTCAGCAAAAAACCCTAATCTGTTCATGCTTTCTGGATCTGCTATTGCTACTTTCTCACAGTGTTTGAAACACTCTATGGCTGTCAGTGCGAGGTCCACTGCTGGCGCCATGTTCTTGGCTGTCTTTGCTACATTATTAGAATCAGTGGCTTTCAGTTTTGCTTCAAACCATCTTCTGTAAACCTGCCCCTTTGTGTTGAGTATGTATGAGTTATTGGGCATTGTAGTGGCAGCTCTCTGTGCCCAGAGTTTTGCCTCTTCAAACCTGTCATACGAATAATACAGTCGAGCAATTGTTTGTGCAAAAAATGCATCTTCATGAAAACATTCGTAAGCTTCCTTGAGTAACTCAAGTGCTAACTCTAGACTTTCATTTTTACGCACGTACTCAATAAGAGGAGAAAACAAGGTGTCATTTTCATCTCCTCGGCTAACCTTTGATCGTCTGTTGAGAAGTGCTTTTAGAAATGCCAAGTAATCATCCCTGCCAAATCTGTGCTCAAACAGAACTTTCTCAGCGAGCAGCTCTTTTGCCAAGGTACCTTGTCTTTTTTGGTCACCTAGCAGCTGTTTGAGAATTTCCTCTGCAACTCGTGGGTGAATGATCCTGATTGATTCAATGTGCGTCTTCTCATCTCTCAGATACAAGAAGATGAGTTTGGTCTGCTCGTTGAGAGACATTTCAAACACTGGTTTTCGAAGCTTGTCTATGTATGTGCTTAAGCCTAGTAAAGCCTCGTAATGGGATTGAGAGATGAACGAGTTTTGAACGTAGGTGTTCAACAGTGCCACATAGAGTAGGAAGCGAGAGATGGCAGATGTAGGATCAATGCCATGGAGCAAATTGGTCACAAAGTTTTCAACATATGTTGCTACCTTTGTGAATTCTTCACTCATCAAAACAAATGTGAGGATGAACTCTGGTTCATATTGTTCCTCTAACACCTGACGTCTTTGAGAAAACATCCTTTTTTCTTTCGGAGAAAGTTTGTGAGTGACAGAGACATTTTCTAACGGAGACTCCTTAATTTTTTTTTCTGGATCATGGCATCGTCTG